CTCAGACACAGAGCAGAGAGAGCACAAAATGGAGGTAAGATAAGGCCATGTATCCTCCAAGCACACCTCCAGTGACATACTTCCTCCTGTAAGACATTACCTCCTAAACTTGCCAGGAACTGGGTGTTCAAATGCCTTCTATAGGAGACATTTATCACTCTAAAAACTACATATACATGTATGTACACATGCATACATGAGACAGAATGTCATGGCTAATTTTTTTGTCTACATATATACACCCATAATTTTTATGCAGACAGAATTTTTAATCAATTTTTTGGATTATTAATGCCTTTATGGTATTTACTACATACAGTGCCTGCATGCTATTGACCCTCAGCAAATATTTTTGAAAGGGCAGACAGTGAAGCCCTCACTGCCAGGTGAATGACTGTGAGGACTGCCTTTTCTCAAGTCAGCTAGCAACTACAATCAACCCCAACCTTGCACAGAATTTTGCAAGATCAAAATACCCATGCTTAGACTCTGGGTGTAGCTCAATTGTCGAGTGCTTGTCTAGTGTGTAAGAGGCTCTGGATTTGATTCTTAATAACATGTATATACACATACACACACACACACGTACACACACACACACACACACACACACACACACACTTTCTCACGGCATATCACTCCCCAAATGAAATGAATTGCCATGGAAACTTCATCCTAGAAGGTTCAATAGTGGGCAGACTTCTTAACTTGAGTGTTTGACCATCCGATCACTTTTCTTAGTTTCCTCGGAAAAGTAACCATAACCATTATTTCTTATATCACGGCCTCTTAAACAAAGTTCCATTCCAGAGAGTAAGACCAAAGAGACAAGAACAAAAACTAAGTGAAAGATAAGATTATGCGTGAGACTATCAGAATCTTAGCAACAGCATCAGATAATGTTTAGGGAACTGCAGACTGGCATACTCATGAAAGAATGAACTCTTTTCATAATTGGGATGCTATCCAGTTTACATAGAGATATATCACATATTTCTTTTCCAAAGATACAAATTTCAAACTACGACTGTTGATCTCTATCTAACCCTGAAGATGAATGATCATGGGAATGAATCAAGGGAACATTTCAAATTATAAAAATAAACACTAAAGGAGAGTTGCAAAGTCTGCATGTGGGGTGTCAGTATCAACATTAACCCATTGTGTTGAATGTAACATATGAAATCAGAGCTAATGTTTTCATTGTCATCTGTTTGATGGGAGCTTGATCTTGTTTTATGCTGAATTACTTCTACTTGAAGGCACCAGCCTTTTCCAATATGTCTTTTGGGTTGTTTGTGCTTGATTGGTCATTGATCATGTGATGAGGTATCAAGAAATGAGTCTCCATAGTGATTGATGCTAAAGAGGCCTGAGATGGGTACTGGTCACTGAAAAGAAGGAAGAAAGTTCTACCGGGTTATGTAATGATAAGATCAGGGTAATTGACATGTTGTCCTTGGGTATCCATCATTTCTTTATGCCAGGAGCATTCAGAATCCCTTTTGTCTACCGCTGTGACCCTACTTCCACGGGACATTAGAAATTAATCCTCCAGCTCAACTGTCCTCCTGCACCTGTTGCAATCATTTCTCCTCCCCAGCCTCCAGTACCCACTGTTTGACGATGAGGGTTCAACTTCTTTTCACCCTGTATGAGTGAGGGCCCATGGTGTTTCTTGACTTTCTGTGCCCCTTATTGTACTTCTTCCCTCCTTCAGCGCAGCTTATTGTTGGAAGAAGCATCACTTGGGGGTTTCTCACCTGGATCTGAGTAGTTTTCTAACTGGAAGATCTAAGGCCAGTTAGTCAGCTGAAATTTGCTGGGTGGTAGAATTTGCTGGCCTGACCTAGAGAGAAGCTAGCAAAGACAACTTTGCATGGTTTTATAGACAAGGTGGATGTGGAGGGGATTCTGAAGGTACCCATTGATATATGCCAGACGGAGCCTATGGACCCAGGAAGGTGTAATCCACGTGAGTATTTATTTAAAAGGGAATTAAACCATTGAAACTGTTTATCCAGATGTTGATAGGGTCAAGGGTCAAGCAGGAGGCAGTGACACGTCACAGACATTAGGCAAGTAAGCTTGGATTCAACGCCACTAGGTTGGAAGACAAGGAACAGAGTTGGTGAGGGGTGCAAGGGTTTGTCTGATAAGGACTAGAACTACAAAAGATACCTCATTTCTGCCACCAATACCATCTGCCCCCTGAAATTTGCTACAACCTCTCCCAGTTGCTGGATCTTTTCCAAATTCAGCTGGTCTTGGAGACTAAACAAAACAGCCTGGAGGAGTCGTTCTCTTGTGATACAAAAGCAAGCTGGGGAAGAGGCAGGAGGAACTCTAGACTAAGATGCCAGAGACAGGGCAGCAGCAGCCAGACCAGCGTGGCGCCACAGGGGTACACAGGGACTCCCAGAGACTGCTTTCCAGGACTGAGTGACAGGATGGACAACACGACACTCTCAGACTGGAGAACACTCATTAAGAACAACGGCTGCTGTGGTGAGGTGGCTGATGGGTAAAGTGCTTGCCACGCAAACCTGAGGACTGGTCCTCTGACACCCAGCATCCACATAAATGCCACAAAGGTGCATGGGCTCATCTGTAATCCCACATCTACAGTACAGAGGCTAGGGATACCAATGGCTACCCAACATGTCTCATGAGAGGACAGCATCATGCATCCTCCAGGCTGAGAGCCATGTGCTGGGACAGTTGTCCTCAGAGACTGGACACACCCCCAAGAAGTAGCTGTTACCTTCTTCTAAACCTCATCTCCAAAGCTTCTATCACCTCCATCCTGCATGGACCAAGCATCCTACACATGATCTCTTAGGACACAAGCTACATCTAAACCATATGTCCAAACTGATGGGATCGAATTTACAGGGTGCTGATCTGTGACTAACATGATTATTAGTCCTAGATGAAGACCACCAAGCATGGCATGGAATAGTGTCCTAGGGAAGGCAGCCCAGCTAATGCTTACTAGAGAGAATGTGAGGCATCATGGAGTGATCCAAACACCATGGAGACAGAGACGAGAGAGAGGCATGAAGAAGAATTTCCATGTGGGCTTAGGAGTGAGGATCTTCAGAGATGTGTGGTGTCTGTGTGGCGGGGGTGGCAGAAGCCGGCATGGACAGACTCCACGAATGAGTCAGGACAGCTTTTCGGCGCATCATTTCACTAGTGCGAGGGAGCTGCTACCAGCCAAGTGGGGAGCTGGGTGGTGTCTCCCCAGTCAACCACCAGACTTATGACTGGTGCAAAAACTGGATCTAAAGAGGTCCAAGGAGTGCATTCTCCTCTGCTGAAGACTCATCTTCAAATGTACTATCATGGTCCTTCCCTCTACACTCAGTTGTCTAACTCTGCTGGAGTCCCAGAGAAGCTTGGAACTGGATTCCTACTGAGAAAGGCATCCCGACATCATAGAAAAGACTTGAATCTGATGGGTGAGCAGGAAAGATGGATGCAATGACTTGTGTAGGATTTCAGAAGAAGGGAGGGAGGCTAAAGCAAGCTGGTAAACCCCAGCTCTGGAGTTGACAGTGCAGGGCTTGAATCCTGTCTGCACAGTTGCTTGTTATGGATCAAGAGATCTCTCTGCATACGCTGGCCTGCAGACTCCTTACCTGTGTGATGCACATGACTCTATCTTCTCTAGTAGACCTCCGTGAGGCATAAATGCATTAATCAACAAAGCACCCAATACCAAGTATACAGAGCAGGTCTACTGGGCAACAAGAGCTCTCGGTAGTTGTTTTCAGAGACCTATTTACAAAGTCACCATTTAGCTGCCTGCCAGAATTCCTATGGAGAAAATAACTGCTTCAACTCTGATTGGTGTACTCTGGGGAGATCTGAGTAATTGTCAGATCACCTCTTTCAGACAACCCTGCTGATTACATGTTAGTTTACTCCTTGAGTTCTCACCATAGGCTTATGGCTTTAGCACCTTCCAAGGATGCCAGGGTTTGGAAGCCAAGTTTAGGACTCTTGGAGGCTAACAGTCGGAAAGGAAAGCAACCTCTCAGGGCAGCTGTTCATTCTCCCCGCTCCACACCATACCTAGAGGGGCCATATTCTTCAAAGTGTTGGGATGGGTGATTGAGATGTTCTCTAAGGCAGTGGTTCTCAACCTTCTTAATGTTGTGACTCTTTAATACAGTCCCTAATGTTGTGGTGACCCCCAACTATAAAGTTATTTTCCTTGCTGCTTCATAACTGTAATTTTCTACTGTTACGAATCATAGCATAAATACTTGTGTTTTCTCATGGTCTTAGGCCACCCCTTTGGAAGGATGGTTCAACTTCCCCGGAGGGGTCGTGACCCACAGTTTGAGAGCCACTGTTCTAAGGCCCCTCCATCCCTTTCTTCTCACAGCAGCATTGATTCTCAGGACTGTGTGCTTGTTGGTTTCTCGGTGGTGCTCCATCTTCCCTGAATCTCAGCCCCACAGAGTGTAAGAATCTAATTCTAGTCTTGTGTCCCTTAGCTATGGTGGCTCATTCACACCTACACTGGCACAATCCTAATGAATCTGAGGGATTTAGAGCGAAGTTCTGGGTCAAATAATTGCTGAACTTGGATGGATCTTGGCATGTGAAATGGTAACTTTGAACTTCTGGGTATCCTACCCAAAGCCTAAAAATACCCAACACAAGAGTCAGCAAAATGTAGGGCAGAGAAGGTATAACTCCAAGTGAAGCCTAAGTCAAATAAGTCTCAAGGACTCCCTAGAGATGAGATTGCCAACTGTCTTTAAGTTGGTTCAAGCCTCGGCTTCTGTCATTTGCAGTAGCATGAGTTGTAACAGAGGTAACTTTTTCAGAGCTCTGAAGCCAACAGCAGCATTTGAGATAACTCCTGATTGTCCCAAAGTTGCTACAGACCTTATGATGTACTCTTTTTTGGACATTGGATTGTTTGTATCTGTTACTTCTGTGTATTCTGGACACCATTAACAAAGTACTACAAACCCAGTAGCTTATTAACAACAAAAATGTATTTCTCATAGTTCTGGGAACTAAGGAATCTGGCATCAAAGTTCCAGCAGATTTGGTATCTTTTGAAGGCCTGCTGTCTGTGACATAGGCAACACCTCTTCCTGTGTTTTGTGACATAGGAGAGAGTCAGTTCTCTGGGATCTCTTAAATAAAGGGCACTGATCCCAATATGAGGGATCCCTTTCATGATCCAGTCACCTCCTAATAGTCCTAATAACATCCTCTTGGGGGTAAAATCTTAACATAAAATTTTAAGAGTCTCAAACACATTACTGATCAAACATATGGACGACAGCATCCATTACAGATCAAACATCTGGGTCACAGCATCCATTACACAGAAATCCCATTGGCTAAATTCAAGAGACAAATTGAAAAGAAATTAAAATGATTTCACTTGAATACATAAGACATAATGCCTTATGAATAATTTTTTTAAATTCATTGCTGGTTAAACTGTCATGGTCATTTTGCAGGTGTATTCTCATTGCAACAGTATGAACAATAATGACAGTCACATTGATCTTGTGAATCATGCTCATCCCGGGGGTGCAAGAGTTCCACTCCTACGATGGAGGAGTAAAGAAAGCCTCCTCCTCCTTCTGGAGCTGAATCTCCACAGTTCTTTGAGCATCATGTAATGCCATCTTGCACCAAAAAAAAGTTTCCTTGGTGGCGGCCCAGATGTTAATTGCTTGAAGAGTAGATGAATCATAATTTGTACCAGAGCTGTTGCTGTAATTACAACAATGAAAAATCCAGAGTTTTTAATTGTCTGCACTTCCCTAATAGACCTCAGGCTTGTAGGCTAACGCTTAGACGCTAAGCCTGCATTACTTGGTCACCCGCATGTTCCCTGAGCACCAACCAGGTAAGCTGTATCTAGATGAGGAGTGGTCTCTAGCAGATTCCCCGGGGTTCTGTGTGAAGCAGCCACATACTTTCTTGTGTCCTTCACACTTCGGATAACAAAGGCCAGGCAAGAGCAGAGGCTTAAATGATGTCATTGGCACCTACCACTCCTCCTTGCAAACCAGCATCCCTAAGGAGGGACTTCCTGTCCATCCCCACTTCCCTTTCTTCCTGCCTGGCTTTATTTCCTCACCCCATCCCTCCTCCTCGCACTTCCTCCCTTTCTCTTTTGTAGTAGAACTTCTGAAGGACTTGGGAATTTTTCTTCAAGAATTGTGGCCTCCTCTTCAATCCCTGGCACCCAGCACATAGTAGGCACTCGCCAGGTGTTTCTTAGGTTACTGGTTAAGGAAAATTAGACAGGTGAGTTAGCCTGTTGTTTCACATGACATAAAATGCATTGGCTTTAATTTATAACAATGATATTTTATAACAGGAGGAATCCATTATAATGTGCCAATCCAATCATCATTATCATCATCAACACAAGTCTCTCAATATATTGATTATGGTTTTAGGCACAAATAGAAATACTTGTTTACTTTGCACTAGACACCTCATTGTTCGTTGATATCTCCTGCTGATCCAGAGTTTCATAAAGAGGAGTGAAGATACCACTCTCATTCTCCTAAGCCTAGAATATACACAGAGCTCTGTTATGGCCCCAAGTAGATATGGGGAAAATGCCACTAAAATATATTTTTACCTCAGACTGCCTTAGTTTGATTTCCTAGCTATGTACTAATATGCCATAACTCAACCTTTCGTGCATTTCCATTCAAATCCATCAGAAAATGCCCACAGTCTCAGAAAAAAAGATAAAAGCTCACCAGTAGTCTCAATATGGGTGCTTCTTGGCTAGAGGGACCAGGAATGTGGCACCTGATTTACTCTCATACACTGAAGACCTGGAGGATATTAGAAAAGAAGGCTGAAGGAGAAATTGGAGAGCCAATCCAAGCTAGACTCCCTCTGTGTCCTCAGTGGAGTGTGTGCCAACCTTATTAGTAAGAATTTGGCCAATTTCTGCTCCTGCTTTCACTCTAACCTATGCCTCGTACAAACTGAAAAGGCATTCTAGCCATAGGTCAGCATAGGAGAAGCACTTTCTAGGTGCCTGAACTAGCCAAAAAAAATGACAACTCTGTTTGATGTGGGCATGCAAGATGCTGGCCTGTGCCCACAGGGACAACTGAGAGAGCAGAGGATTGACTGTATTTCAGATCTTCATCCCCTGAGCCAGCAACTTTGTGATGTGAAGGAACCACACACTCATGCATGGCTTCCTTGCTCTACCTGAGCAAGGGGATTATAGCATGGATTCAAACTGCGTGCTGCTGATCCAGGAGGCACAGTCAAGAGTCCATCATTCAACTGAAGATCTAGTTTGAAAACCATAAACAAGAAAGTGGGCCAACAGCACAGACAGGACATCTATACCACATGGAAGCTCAGGGACCATTGAAGAAGAGGGAGCTGAAGAACTTCTGTCAGCCAATGGCTGGGGACAACAGTGGTGGAGGGGAAAGAGAAAGAGAGAAGGAGAGAAAGATGGGAGGTGGGCAGGGCCCTTTTAAAAGGGAACATATTGAATGTGCACAGGTGGTGCTCTTAGTGGCTGCAGCTGAGGGCGTATACTGTCAGAACCCCAAGGGCAGGCCAGTACAGTATTATTCATGCCTGAATAATAACATTCAGGGACTGGTCTCTGCCCACTTCTCTGCTCCTTTTTCTGTCCCTTCTCACTCCTCCTCCAATAAACCTCCTATGTGAGTCCTGCTGTATGGTGTGACCTCTCTTCACAGCAGTTTTTTAAATGACAACACAAGTTATGCCCAATGTGCCACACAGTCTTCTTCTGCTGCCTGTGGACCAAGATGTAGAACTCTCAGCTTCTTCTCCAGTACCATGTCTGCCCGCATGCCACCATGTTCCATAATGATGACAATGAATTAAACCTCTGACATTGTGATCAGCCCAACTTAAATGTTTTCCTTTATAAGAGTTGCCGTGGTCACGGTGTCTCTTCATAGCAATAAAAACCCTTAAACAATGTGTGGACATCAATTTCCTAGATCTAATACTAAGTTTTTATTATATTTGAAGCCCCCTCTATTCCAACCTCTGTTGTTACTCCTCTTTCCTCTAACTACAACCTGTACTCAGTGGGTAATGACTAGTCCATTCTTGGTTTTGAAAATTCTCAGTATGTACTTTATGTGAACACCTAGTTGCTTTAAAAGTATACACTATTCAGATGCAGGCATATAACATAAACCAGAAGCAAAGTGCATGAGTAGATGGATAATAAAATAATGTTACCAGTATGCTGTTGGGGAAGTCTTATGCTAATAAAGCACTGTCTGGCCAATAGGAATCTAGATAGGTGGGGCTAGGAATCCAGGAGGATTCTGGGTAGGAGAAACACAGGAGAGTCAACATGTGACGCCATGGGGGTAGGACGCTGGGAACTATTCTCCGGTAAGAAACATACTTAGATTAACAATTATGGGGTAATTACTTAAAGCAGAGCTAGCCAGTAAGAGACAAGCAAGGCCAACAGCTTCATAATGAATATAGCCTCCTGTGTGTTTATTTGAGACTCATGCGGATCTAGAACCAGGCTGGCGCGGCAGAGCCCAGGCGACTGGCGGGGGATAAACCAAGGCGGCTAGCAAAAGAAAAAGCTTCTCTTAACATAATGGTGATCAGGAGTGGGATTGAATTTCCACGAAGAATAACAAAAGCTTTAAAGAAATTTTAGAAACAGAAGAACGGAGAGAAGCACAGATTTTGGTAGCAGCATTTTTCTTAGGTGTGCTCTGTTTTGCTAGCGACAAGCCGAGATTCACGTGGCTCGTTTACCGGAGTCTTCCTGACTCAGCATTAAAAAAAAAAAACAGCAAGGTTGTTTTAAGAGACTCTACTAACTATTGAAAAGAGTGTACGTACAGCTGGAAGTGGCAGCTTTTGCTGGATGTCAGCATGGACTGAGGCGGTAAGCTGGAATCAAGCTTACGCCCGCCATCTTGAAAAAAAAAAAACGGCAGTTTAAAACAGCCACGGTTTTACAGATAAGACACGTGGCCAGAAAAACGTAAAGATTTACAGTAAAGTCAGACTTGGATGAACAAAACCTCTAAAGGTTTACAGTGTGTTTAAAAATATACGTGAGATTGAGAGAGAAAATGAAACGGCAAAGTGGTAAATAAATACAAAAGCCGGGTGTGGTGGCACACGCCGGTAGGATTGCTCCAGAGGCAGAGGCAGGCAGGTTTCCACAGAGAAACCCTGTCTCAGAGAAAAATAAATAAAAGTGAAAGAAATAAAGTAATATTAGATAAATAAATAAGCCACGTAAAGATGGAAAATACACAGAGAGTCTGGATACTGTACGCTATTGTGTTTTTCAGTTTTTTGATTGCTAAGGAAGGAACAAATGCTAAAGTACACTTGATTATAAATGCTGCTGAATTAATCCAACTTCTATCTTTTGAAAATGCCTTGACCTCAAAATTAAAGGATATGTTACTCGGAAAAGGAGTTTTAATTTATGTTTCCACAGAACATAAAAAGCTGAGGATTTCTTCCAGACTTCTGTGGTTTGACGAACCAAGACCCCCGGAAGCAGTGGACCAGGTGTTCCAACTATTGAGACAGCTAAGATGATGCAGCTTTACAGACCCCGAAAATACGGACTTATACAGGTTTCTGAGTTTTGTCATGATCCCTATGGTAATAACGGCGCCCCCTTCCAGCAGGAAGCAGTTTGGAATGAGCGACGTTCCAATTCCCATCTTGTTTATAAATCTTTGTTTTCATTTAAATGGGATTGTTTATAATTGGCTAGTGATCACAGCCAATCTTTTTTAATGGTAAAAAGGGGAATTATGGTATGGGTATTGTTTTTCATTTATTGAGACAAAATCAAGGTCAATTTTGTGATGTGTATATTTCTCCTCTTGATTAAGTATTGTGCTTATACTGATCTTTTAAAATGTAATGCATAATTGAATACAGACTATAGATAGTTACTTATAATAGAATTTATAGTTAGGTAAGTTAGGTGTTCTAGATATACAGAAATATATTTGAGATAGATAGACAGTCTTCAAACCTCTCAAAGACCTTCAGAACATGGCATTTAAAATGGTTTAGGGTTTTTCTTGACAATGAGAAATGTCTGCTTCTGGCAGCACCAATTACGTCTGAGAGGAAGATGGGCATCGAAGAAACTTGTTATGGAGTTTGCTTTCAACATGGCAAGATTAGCCATTTGGGCAAGAAACTGCTCTTGCCTAGATTGTTTGACTGTTGTTGTATCATCTGGACATGCAGGACCCACAGGAAAGTGACTACTGAACTCAGTCTTACAGGGTTCCTGCTTGATGAAGAGTCTACGAGACTTTCTGCAGGACAAAGAAAAATGACTGACAGACTGCCAACGCAGATGGACAGTTTGAAATTTCCTGCTTTGCTGAGAAGTGTTCCAGATACATTGTGGCCTATGGGCTGAAGGTGGATGCCCCAACGTTACAGAGGAACTTCGGGTGACTGTCCAGGCAGTAAGATATCTCTGTCAATCCTAGTGTTTATATATTATCCTTCTGTGGTCTTTGATAGAGTTGAAGACAGATAGCTATAATTATAGTTTTCCTTAGTTATGATAAGAGATAAGCTACATATAGAACTTTAGACTCACAAGGATGGGATGGATGATATTTTCTTTAGATCTTGCTAAATGTTAATAGACAAAATGTTGTAACTGTGTTCTTACTTGATAACTGTTCTGTCATATACAATTTGACTATGTTAAAGTTAAGACCTTTCTTTTTGTTTAAACAGAAAAGAGGAGATGTTGGGGAAGTCTTATGCTAATAAAGCACTGTCTGGCCAATAGGAATCTAGATAGGTGGGGCTAGGAATCCAGGAGGATTCTGGGTAGGAGAAACACAGGAGAGTCAACATGTGACGCCATGGGGGTAGGACGCTGGGAACTATTCTCCGGTAAGAAACATACTTAGATTAACAATTATGGGGTAATTACTTAAAGCAGAGCTAGCCAGTAAGAGACAAGCAAGGCCAACAGCTTCATAATGAATATAGCCTCCTGTATGTTTATTTGGGACTGATGCGGATCTGGAACCAGGCGGGCGGGAAGGCTCCTCTCAAGTAAAGCTTCTCTATTTTAATATTTTTATCTAAAGTAGTCCCCTAATTCAGATGCTATTGAAGTTTACTATTCCTGTCCCAATGCTATTTTTCAGGATTAGTCCTTATTAGTAGATGAAGCTCCATCTCATTTGTTTTAGCTATTGAATCAAGCTGCATTGTATAACCGATTCCTTCATAAACAATAGCCAATAGACACTATGTGCCTGACACTGAGCATACATGTGCAAGGGAGTATCTGGGTTGCACACCAAGGAAGGAGGTGAGTCACTGAATCCTAGGATACAGATATCAGTTGTGAAAATTATTGCCCAGGCAGAGTGATTTGCCAAGTTACACACCCACCAGCAGTATATGGGATGCTTTTCTCTTTTATCCATTCCAAAACTTGGTTTTATCAGATATATCATTTTGCCAGTCCACAGAATACAAAATCACATCATGCTATGATTTTAATTTTAATTTCTCTTGATACTGAGAGCAAGCTGTGCTCCCTTTCTCCAAAGATCTGCCAAGGGCCAAGTTTCCGTGTAGTCACGGGTCAATTGCTGTAGCTTTTCCATCTCCGTGTGTCTCTCTCAGCACCAATGACCAAATCTTCAATAACTCTCAGGAGAGTTCCCAATGATGCCTAGAATGGCATCATCTTTTGGGTAAAGGTGAAGCCCTCTAAGGCGAGCCCCACTCTGAACCCCATGACTGTGTGGTCTACCTGTAGCACTTGGACTCCTGGCCTGTCAATCAGAAGATCTAAAACACAGGGACTTCTAGAACAGTGAGAGGGAGATAGATGTAGACAGAAAGACTGTCAAACGGGAAGCAAAAATGCTACTTCCAATTACTCAATTTTTTTCTAGTCTTGGCTCTACAAGTATGTACATTAGTTTAAGACCCGACTATTTCAATAAAAAGTGTGTCCTCGTAGCAATTCTCTACTAACCATTATCTTAAATCATAACCAGAAATAGAACTAACCTTTATTGGCATATGTGGTAAGTACTTGCTAACAAATTGTGTCTCATTAGGCTATATAACCTATGCTATTTCCTTAAAATATGGGGTGAAAACGAAGCCAGGGAAGTGAAGTGATTTGCCCAAGGTCATAGCTAAGTAACTGGCAAAAGTACTTGTTACTTGTAATTTGTACTCACTCCCTTCCATGTTATAGAATATACCACACTGGAGTGGGACTATCCACATTTGATCGGAGAGAGTGAATCTCGCTTTAACCACTACATTTTCAACCCTAGCCAGCAGTGTCAGTCACACAATAGGCTCTCTATCAATATCTGTAGACAAGGATGAAGAGGCGCATGCCGGCTGTGGGGTCTGTGGTTTATGAGTCATGAAAGGTCGGAGTGGTTTATTTAGTTGCTTAGTGGAGAATTCTCACCTCACTTCCTCTGCAAGTCAAGTCAAGCCTCTTTTCTTCTTAGCCTCGAGTGATTGACTGGGTTATGCACACACAGTCATGGACTTCTTGCTGTGCAGGTCCTGGGAGCATGCCTGGAGAGTTGAGGTTGGCAAGGCTGGGGCACACAGAGCTGAGCATGTGCAACACTTCCAGCCTGGGCCTTTGTCTGCAGTCTGTAGAACTGACATCCCACATCCCAGATAATCTCAGTAACCCGACTTGGCTTTTTCAAAGAGTCAGCAGCAGCAGCAGCCGGCCTGCCCTCCTCGTGAGGCTGTGGTGTTAAATCTGAAAACTGTTTTGTTGCTCAGCTCCACAGAGATTGCTGCTGCCGTGGGGATTCCCAGACAGCCCAGAGCCCCTTGCTGCTGAGCGGAGTTCCCCAACATGAGAAGTGAGTGGGCCATGGAACTCATTGGTCTCTGGGGGGCTGTCTGCGTTGCGACATCTTGCCTGAAGAATCGTTGGGCTATTTGGGGGAGTAGGTGTGGTGATATTCAAGGGGGAGGTTATAGTGTGTTGTGAACTGGTTGGGGAAAACATGTGTCTCTTTGATTCCACAGTTTTAAATGGACTGAACAACAATGGCCTTATTGCAGACTGACCTAAATATACAGCCTCCTGGGATTAAACAGTTTACCATCTCTGAACCAAGGTCAGCTCCAGAGCTACCCAGGCCCCATGGTGGCTTTGTTCCATCAATAAGACAAAACGTTTCCATCTAAGAAATGACCTCAAGGTGCCTTACATTCTTTCTGCTGGAAACTCACGTTGGCTGTCATGGCCTTGACCTTGGCTTCAGCAATGGTCATTGCTCTGGTCACTGACCTGAATTCTGACATGGCTACACCTTCTTAGAAGCTCTGCAGTGTCCCATACCTGTTGCTGTGGCTTCCAGAACCACTCTTGCCACCAGCCCTCACCCCACGCCTTGTTATGCCTCCCAACGCCTTGTTATGCCTTTCTCATTGTCTCCACAAGCATTACCTCACGTGATTTGACCTGTCACCCTATGGCCTCTTTCCACAAACCATTCATGAGCTCAACTATCAATTCCTGACAATGATTACATTCCATATACTCATTTAGACAACAGGATAAAATGACCAATAAGTGAAGTCCCTGCTGTTAAAGACTAGCATCCTGGAAATGAGAGTGGGGAATCCATACATAGATAAGGAGCTATTAGAATACCACATGGAAATGGTGGCCTGCCATATGAAGATAAGACAAGGTAAAGTAAGCGCTGGGAGTAACATGGAGAAGAGAGGGCATCACTTCTGACAGAGGAATCAAAGAAGGAGGCAGAACTTGGAGGAGAATTGGTGAGCGAGGGAGGAAGTTATGTGAAGATCTAAGAAGAAAACATCCTGGGAAATGGAGGCGGTGAAGTAAGTGAGGAAATGCAGGCTGGGGCACCTGAGTGAGAGATAAAGGGAAGCGTGGCTGGCAATGAGTGAGGGTCCGATCATGTGAACATCTGAGGCTACACCGAGACCTTCTGACTTCTCCCCAAATGTGTTGGAAGACCTATGGAGGGCATCAGGTAGAGGGATGGTATGACCTGACTTGTGTTTTTGACTTGTGTTGAAGATTGCAGGGATCTGAAGTGAAAACAGGGCCAGAACAGAAGTCTAGGAAAATGGGATGAGAGATGGTGCCTGGTTGGACCACGGTGGAGAGCAGTGGGAGAGGTGATCCTGCTCGGAGCATATTATTCCAGGAATTTACTACTAAATTAGAGAGGGATGTGGTGGAAAGAGGCAAATTAAGGATGCTTCCTGGGGTTTTTTCCCAGAGAAGATAGTTTCTGAAGACATGTTCTACAGAGAATAAGCCTCCACCATGCCCAAGATAGAGCATGGGAAGGAATACAGGTCCATGTATTCACACCTTGGGAACTGACTCACAGCAGTGAACTTTAAGGAAGATAGAGCTAGACTCCTGAAGTCTACCTGGGACCACTAAATACCCTTTACATTTAATAATGGACTGAAGCCAGAAAGAGCCTTTTGGAATACCTAGTAGACATGGGCCATGTGTATCCTTTTCCCCACCTTACAAACCCAAGTCCCAAGCTCATTGCCAGCCAGCAATGTCATTAAGACTGGATTGGCAATCCTGAGAGGTGCTTGGCATTCAGGCTTCTGATTTATCCTACTACACCCTTAGACACCGTTTGTCAGTCTCCTGTGGTAGACATCTTCCATCTCCCTTATGGATGATCCAGGAAAGGAAATATATCTATACTACTGAACATGTACAGAGATATTTTACAAAAGCTGCAGGACCACATTTCAATGATGTTTTGTTTGATGATTGTATTATCCACGCAGCAACACAAGAGAGGATCCAGTATCTTCTATGGACACCTGCCCACTCCTCTGTGCTGTCTCCAACAGTTCTGCCATTCCTGAATGAGTCCGTAGGTCACATTTGTACTTGCAGCCTTCCCAATCAGGACACCAACTTCCCCATTCTGCAAGAACTACTAGGAGAGAGTATGCCAGCGATGTCCAGCACACCAAGAGGGGTCTATGCAAAGCATGGGACTTTCAGGAATTGTAACAGAGGCTCTGAAAAGAAGGGAATTTCACAGGCCTGAGAGGAGGGGCTTTTAGCACTCTGTCAAGCATTCTACCAGATAGGCAGCCACCCAGGAAGGCTGTCATCTGTCTCTGGCATGCCATAGAAAACCAAGCCTCTTCTGTTTGTGCCCCAAATAAAGGAAGTGAGCCCCACCAAGAGCCATTTTTAATCATTTTTTTTGAGGCAGAAGAAAACTGCTGTTACCTCGATTCTTCTCAAACCTTTCTACTGTTTCTATGTGTACGGTAGCTCAACTTTGAATGTCATTTGGAATAGACTTTTGGCCAGGTGGTGGCGGCGGTGGTGTACACCATTGATCCCAGCTCTCTGGGGGCAGAGGCAGGCAGATCTCTGTAAGTTTGAGGCCCGTCTGATCTACAGTATAAGTACCAGGACAGCTAAGGCTACACAGAGAAACCCTGTCTCAAAAAATAAAAAAAAAGTGTGCTGAAATAGACTTTTATCCACACCAAGCTGCAGGACAAAGATGTTCAGAAGGGAAATTTCTTAACCGAGTGTGTGATACTTTGACCACATCCTGCCCAGTGAAGGATGGGCTGAGCTGTGGGTCACTGCTGAAGGATTCCAAATGCATAGAATTGTTTTTGTTTATTTTATTTGGTGCTATACAGTTGGACTTTTGAGAAAATTCTCTGTCACCACTATCAAGACAATCTTTCTTACACTTCAGGGAGTTTACTAACCCCACCCACACAAATAGGATGAGTCATGCTGGAGGGGTCTGATCTGGTGTCTGGTAAGGCAGTTAGATTAAACAACTGCTTTAAAACACCCCGTCCTAAATTATCTCTATAGCAACTGTCTCAAGGAAGAAACAGCTTGGTGAGAAGCATCCAGATACGATTTCATAGATAGAGCAGAGAGAGCCCCAGCAGGAACCAATGGCAAACTCCAGTTGTGAAATTCAAGTGGAGTTTATAATAAAGGGCTCTTTTCAGAGAAGTGGTCAGGGTGGGGAAAAACCACAAGAAAATCATGCAGCCTTCGGAACAAGCAGCAGCCGCGTGCCTCTCAGCCTTAGTAGGACAAAGATTCGAGGGGAGGGATCAACATCCAAGAAGAGAGAGACAGCTGGGAAAAGACAGGCACTGACTCAGCACCGATACCTGAGCAGTCGAGTTGCCCCATGAGAGGGAAGCTAGGGGGACAAAGGCCCCAATTTCACTCGAATATGCTTCCCAGATCTGTTATAGATGCTTCCAACTCGGCTAGAGAAATGAAGATCCGAGGAAGCCCAGTAATGCAGTCAACAGCCTTCTAGGATAGAGAGCAGGTTGAAGAAGGTGGCTGTGGCATCTGGAGGGGTCACAGCAGAAAACTGTGATATTTTAATTACATTTAAAAAAACAGGATCTCTCTCTCTCTCTAAACAGTTTCTCCCTAAAAAAATCCCCTCTAAATATATCTACCATTTTATAGGCTGTTTTATGTTTCCTTAGACTACCCAAGTGTTCTCTTAAGAGCCTGTGTCTAAATCTAGCATAAACTCTATTTTATAATCTCACACGCTCGTTCTCATCCACAGTTATACTTGAGTCCAGTGTGGTACCTCAGGGCATGGTAAGCCCAGGGGCTCAGCAGGAACAAGTGCTGTGTTGACAAATGTCTGGCAGTTAACATCTGATTCACAAGAGAATGAATGCAAGGTGAACAATATAGCTTCCAGCTAAAATCAATTTTTTTCTAGGACATTTCCTTTAGGTATGAATATGTATATCCATTGATATAAACCTCTCTCAGATTTCTCAGGGATAATACCCATTGTTTCAGTGATTATTGCAAACACTTTAGTATCATGTCAGCATCTGACTGACTGACAGATTGCTCTGACTTTTCCAGTGCCTAAGTCCAAATGGTCCTGGTAATCTTGTAAAATGACTTGGTTCTTATGGTTACTCATGAAATCTGCACTTTCAAATATGACAGCCATGGGCAGTGTGAAACTATTTAAAGTCCATTAGAATTACATAAAATGGGATGGGAGATGGTTTAGCGGATAAAGCACTCACTACAGAAGCAGATCCCCAGCACCTGCATGAAGTTGGGCATGTGGTACACATCTGTAATTCCTGCATTGGGAAGCAGACACAGGCAGGTGGATCGCTGGAGGGTTGCCCACCAGCCAGACAAGTTGAATCAGCAAGCGCTCGGTTCCATGAGAGACCTTGTCTGAAAAAAAAAAAAAATAAACAGGAGAATGACAGGGGAAGACACCTGAAGTCAATCTCTGGCCTCCCGTGTGAGTGCAACCACACATACATGTGAACCTCCATACAGACACAAGCAAAGGAAAGTGTAAAATAAAAATTCAGCTATTTAGTCACACATATCAAACAGTTCGAGTTTTCAATGGCCACACAGAGGACAGCACAGACACAGACACAGACTGCAGACAGTTCTGATAGAAGGTGCTGCTGTAGCCTCCACAGTTGGCTCCTAACACACAACCTGCAAAGCATCACTTAGGTAATACTCCTGTTATATGTGAGGCAGCAATTAAGTGGTTAATAATCCCTCATTTAATCTGTGGGGAAATAATTACCATCTTCATATTAGAGATAAGGCCTACTGAGGTAACATTATCATAATTCCATAACCACAAAGTAATAGTTAAAAGAACTCAGAATCCAAACTAGATCTTTCTCACATCAAAGTGCTTTTTAAAATAATTTATTTATTTGTATTTTATGTGCATTGGTGTTTTGCCTGAATGCATGTCTGTGTGAGAGTGTTGGTTCTCCCAGAGCAGGAGTCACAGACAATTTGTGAGCTGCCATATGGGTGTTAAGAACTGAACGGGGGTCCTTTGGAAGAGTGATCTTAACCACTGAATCATCTCTCTTAGAGTGTTCTTGACCATTATTTTTGAACCTACAAAAGAAACAACAATTCTGATGAGCTGAACACATGATACTCTATAAAGATACTAAGTTGAAATGACCAAACCCAGTATGTTCCCTTGCATAATAGATAGTTGTATGATGAATACACGACTCAGAAACATATGAGCTATCCTTCTCTTAACCTTTTCTGTGGTCTGCATTAATAAGCAAATGAATTATTGCTATAACACTTGCTCTCCATGTGTCAGTCAGAACCCCACTGAGAAACAAGGTTGCACTCAAATTAGGGGAGTTGAAAAGAGTTTAAAGAGGTAACTGTTTGCGGGGGTGTGAATAACGGTTAGCAAAGATTGCATGCTCTAAGCAAGACTTGGGGTTCATTAGTCTAAAGTCTGGGTAGCGGAGATTCCCTAGATCTAGAGGACACATCTGGTGCTGGAGAAAGGGTTCCACAGAAGCTAAGTTTTTGCAGAACAAAGCAGCCTCGCCAACTTGTGGTGACCCAACAGGGACACAGCAGCTCTATCCCTCAACGTGAAGCCAAGGTTGTCATTGAAATTACCCATAAACTGACACCTTCTCAAGAATTGTTCTTATTTTTTCCCTGTTGCTGTAATAAAACACTCTGACCAAAAGAAAATTAGGGGAGAAAAGGATTTATTTTGTTTATAGGTTAGAGTCCATCTCCGAAGGAATTCAGGGCAGTAACTTGAAACATAAACCATGTAGGAATGATGCTTGCTGACTTACTCAACGTTTCCTGCTTGGATAGCTTTCTTATAAAGTCTGGGACCACTGTGCTTAGGGGATGATGCTCCCCACAGTGGGCTGGGCCTCCCTCCAGCAATTAATTAACGATCAAGATAATCCTCACAGATATGTCCACAGGCCAATCAGATGCCTTTCTCAGATGACTCAAGGCTGTGTCAAGGTGACAGCTAATGTTAAAGCTAACTAGGATAGGAACCCAGAAGTGTAGCAAGTGTGGAGAAGGGATCTGAGAGGACAAATAAAAGATGTTATGGCTGTGATCTATTGCTGTTGCTTACGGCAGGTGTCACGTATAAATAATGTTGAAGTGAATGGGATAAGCTTGACCAGCACCGGACTTCTCTCCACCAGAAAGTCGCCTAAAGCTAGTTAAAACCTCTAGGCTGAAGAAATTTCGAACCCCAGGTCTATGCTGTCTGTGGGTTTCCTACCCTCACCATGTTAAATAAAATAATCAGATATTGAGTGTCAACCCTTATAAGACTTCTTTCACACCATAGTCAAGGGCTTAGCATGAGGTCAACCTGAAAGCAAGAGACACAAAACAAGAATGTGTGCTTTAGCTCTCATGCAAAGGCTGCCAGGTTGGTGACCCTAGAGTTGTCCACCAGTGTCCCTGCCTTGAGAACAGAAGTTACGGCATCCTTAGTTCCAAGGCCACATCTACATAAACACCAAGCTTAATTTCTAAGTCTAACTTTTTAGACCCTGTCTTCCTCAACTGCCTATCATCCCCCAGACACTTGTGTGCCGGTATCCTGGCCATCTCATCATTCCAAAATGTAGTGTTCCCATTTCTGTGGTGACAACCTCTTTCTGACTTACCCTTGCTAGCACGGTCTGTGAAATTCTTACACTCATTGTCAAACCCAGCTTGAGTACCACATATTCTCAGAAGCCTTTGTAATTTCTGCCACAGAGTAAAGAGCCCTGCCTTCTTGGTACTCCTTAATCTTTGGGCTCAACACTGCTGTAACAATGGATATCACAATATAATAAAATAACTGAATTCAGAAGGGACTAGTGGATAATCCCAATCCAACAGCCACACACATGGCCCTAGTTAAACTACGTGAGTCATAAAACCAACCCAGAAGTCATGAGTGTTGAGAAGGTACTGGAAGCAAAGAGAGGGATCGATAGAGATAGAGGGAGAAAATGGAGGTGTGGGGAGGGAGTAATCAGAATGCATCATGTACACACATGAAATTATCAGAGCACTAAATTGTTATCAAAATGTGCATAAAAAGCAACAGGTAGCCCGTTGCTCTGTTTTATTACATGCTGGTACTGCGGGGCACCATGTATACACAGAGACTTGTGGCTGTTACACATTTTAGGACCCACCCTTTGTCTCCTAAATATTTCTCCCTAGCATCATATTTTAGATAGGAGTTGATACTGTAATCCTGAGATCCGTAGAAATGAGGTAATGTTTTATTTACTTTGTAGGACAATCCCCTTCGCAGCATCCTAAATTGCTTCTCAGTTCAAGGAATCTTAACCATTGGGGGACCCCCTATGGCTGTGTGGTGAACCTGAGGGCCTCTTCTCGGAATAGCGTTTTCAAGTATACATAGTCAAATATTATCAAAAATACTAATCAGAGAAAGTTTGTGAAATTTTTAACTGAAAAACTAAGAAAGGAGGTTTTTAAAAGAAAGAAAAATGTAGACGGGGGATTCTTTCATGTAATGAAAGATCCTTCAGGTCGCACTTTATAGTAATGGGGACATTGGAACAGACAAACTGTGGTATATCCAAACAAAGAGGCTATTATTCAACACTAAAAAGAAGGAGAGCCGTAGGAAGACAAGAAAGAAACTGAAATGCATGTCACCAAGAAAAGGAGCCATTTTAAAAGTCGTGTGCTACGTAATTCGCACTAAATGATATTTGGGGAAAGGTAAGACTATAAGGTGATTAACGAACAGTGGGTTCCATGGATTTGGGGCAGATGATGAATTGGTGGAACTCAGAGGAGTTTTAGGATGGTGAATATACTGTATTCACCAAACTGGCAGCTATCTGTTGTTATATATTTGCCTTAACCCACGGAATTTACATCACCAATGGTGGGCCCTATAGTAAGCCATGATCTTTGGGTGACTGTGATGTATCAATGTAGACTTAGAATACAGCAAATGGATCACTCTGGTGGGGGGGGTACTGATAATAAGTCTGTGTACATCCAGTTAGGGGGGTATGAGTTATACAGGGGTTATATAGGTTTGAAGAGGGACCCTATCTGTGCTTTCCTCTCATTTGTTGTAAGCATTAGGACTGTACTGACTTAAAATTTTTTTTAATATCCACATTTTTTTTGGTTTTATGAGACAGGGTTTCTGTGTTTTGGAGGCTGTCGGTCTAGCCTGGCCTCGAACTCACAGAGGTCTGCCTGCCTCTGCCTCCCGAGTGCTGGGATTAAAGGCGTGCGCCACCAACGCCCGGCTCAGTATCCACATTTTTTTAAGATTTCTTTCTATAGTGTGTGTGTGTGTGTGTGTGTGTATGTTGTGTAATTCAGTGCACGAGCCTGAGGAAGGAGTCAAAACCCCTGCAGCAGGAGTTTGTGAGTCTCCTCTATAACAACAATACTCACCCTTTGCCCCAAAGCCATCTCTCTGGCCCCAATAGGAAATAATTGCATTTTTTCAGGTGTGCTTTATGAAGATAAATAGAAATCTTACGTAGGACACACAGATACTAAGAATTTTCTGAGATACAGATTTAATTGCTGTCCTGTAGTTTTAATTTGTCACATCTGGTAGATGCAATAATGCCCTAGTTGCTGGAATCAGTCATGACTTCATGGGCCTCTGACATTAGAAGACAAGTGTGCTGTGGCCCCCGGAGTGACAGACAGGAAGTATTAAGGGGACTGTGCACAGCCCTGGGCATCTTCCTATTCTCTCCCAGTCTCTCCCAGTCTCTCTCCAACCAGGGTTCTAACCAGGAAACATGGCTGCTCTCCATAGGTGAGCACTTTATTAGAAAAAGAGCGGATTGGAGGAGAGTTCGGTGTCAGTCCTATGCAAAGCACTTCTCAGATTGTGACTTTCCAGAAAATCAGGACTCTCTCTAAGCCCCACTGCCCTTATTTTTTTTTTTTTTTTTTTTTTTACGAGACAGGGTTTCTCTGTATTGTTTTCGAGGCTGTCGGTCCAGCTTGGCCTCGAACTCACAGAGATCCGCCTGCCTCTGCCTCCTGAGTGCTGGGATTAAAGGCATGCACCACCACTGCCCGGCTTCTCACTGCCCTTTCTTATGACAAAAGTGAAGGTACATTTCTTCATATGTATATATAGCATGTTAACATACTTCGTGTGTATTGATTGTTTGGGAATTTCACATCACGTGTGCCAACCCCACTCATCTCTCCGCATCTGCCTTGCACCCATTGTAGCTTCCCCCACTAAAAGAAAATTAAAAAATAAAAAAGGAAAAACATGTCTTTGCCACCTCTCCATCATAAATTATTTTGTCATGGTGGCCTTGGGACCTATGGTGTGTCATGCAGTATACACCTTTCCCCAAACAGCTTTATTGACAAAT